AAACAACTTGAAGCTTGTCTTCATATATTTCTTCTACCCTTCCTTACTTATTTATAAACTCCTTTGAATAAAAACTTAAACCTCTTAGTGGTCTGAAAAAACTCAAATATGCACTTTTTCTACTAAGGGCAAGAAGGTTTTAGGAAGTAAAAAAACTGACAAGTGAAGTGTTACCTTACAGAGTTGGAAGTAACAAGATATAGAGGTTCTGTTAATAGGGAAAGACTTATTTTCCACCTCATATACTGTCTTATATTCTCTTAAAGTGCTTACTATTTTTCATGGTTTTCTTGAGAGATTTTGCCTATTTCAATTTGACCCTGAATTTTTAATAACACAACATTATCTGGCATTTGATTGGTTGACATAAAACACGTTAGTAGCTGAATGTAAACAAGCTCCTATTGATTATCTTATATGTTTTGAGAATATCATTGATAATTGAAAGAGAAATCAAGGATACAAACTCTTCTACTCCTTCAAATAAAGTTTAACTGAAGCAAAAAAATCATGAGGCCATTAGGATGGATACTAAATTCTCTAGGTGATGAAAAGGTGATTATTTGTTCAAGCCAAGACCTTTAACTTCTTATCATCCTGGTTAGGCAAAGTACATGAAGAAGGTTATTTTTTTATCCCGGTCAGGCTATAAGACCGAAAAGCAGAGGAATGTAAAACACTATCCTTCTCTAGAATTGAAAATGCATTTCTCCAAATATTGAGTAATAATATCGTAATCAAGATGAACACCAGTAAAATTCTTTTAACTAGGTATGGCTGCTAAAAGATATTGGAAATTACCCAACAAGACTGAAAAGTTACATAAGAACCTGGGATCCATCATTAATCATCTTCTTCTATGCAGGTAAATATAAAATCAATATCAAAAGAAAGGAAGTACTGAGCAAGACATTGGATCTGAATAGGTGATAAGTATCTCAGATGGTCATAAGAAAATAATTAAGAGCATGGATGGATAAATTCCCTAGATGGTTAGAAAGAAGAAGGATATTTCAGAAGTGTTGACTCCTAATAAGAAGAGGTTTCTAGCAAAGATTCTTTGGAGGATATATACATTTTAATTTTCTTTTTTCTTTTCATTTTCATGTAATGCGTTTACATATTTTTAAATATATCCCTTTTCTTTTATTTTTCCTTTCCCCTTTTATAGTTTCTCAAATTCAGTTCCTTGAAGAATAATAAGCAGTGACAACCTGCTGACAATAATGGATAAGTTAGAAAGGTCTTTACCTAAAACTTAGTTTGAAATGAAATATTGTTTCCAAGATTGTACTTAGAGGCTGAAGCTCTTTTGAGAATTGAAAGCCATTGACGAGTATGTCAGTACAAGTCTTTTAGTTTAGCCATAATGCAATTGTTCTATATATCCATATCAGTTTTCTTAATGATTAATAAATATACAATACTTGTCTAATCATAAATATTAAAAAAATAAAAAAATAAAAAATTATTGTTTTTTAAGTTATTATTGAAAACTATAATAAAAACCTAATTTTTTAATTTCTTTTATATATAAATTTATATATATAAATTATTAAAAAAATTTTTTTTATATCTTCTAATCAGGTTTTACTGGTTATTCTATGAAAGTCATATCCAATTATCTAGAACAAGATCCAATCTGATTAGGCTATAGGAAGATGTGACTTCTGGCCTTTTATCGATCAAAAATTGAGATTTACGGTCATACTATCAGAAGAATTGCATGAAAAAAGACTTCTGGTCTAGCCTACTATAGATGCCCCAAGATCTCTTGCCCTGGCAATTTCCAGGACCCCCTGCTCTTCTAGCTCAGGATATCCCAATCTGATATTCTACTTAATTGAAAATCAGTTAATAAGAATTGATCCGATGCCACAGGTGATAATAAAGAAGATAATATGTCCCCTTCCAAGGTCTGAGCGAATAATATCTGAAAATATTGGAAGATATAAAAATATCCCATTGGGTACATATGAAAAGAACTAGTTTAGTGAAACAATAACAAACACAAATTAATAAGCTCAATATTAATTAGCCTAGTCATGTCATTGATAACTGTGTATTAATCATCTGACCCCTAGTTAGGTCTGTCCACTCAAGAAGTGGTAGCTGGTTTAACTAGGACAAATCGTGATAGGTTATCATTAATTTGCATGTATATAGAAATATATAGTTTTGTATGAAATGATTGATGTCACATTACGGATTTAATTATCTACCAAATATTAAGTTAATTCTTAATAAAGCTTGCATCTAATACCAGTTGTGGTTTAAAATTAAAAAAAAAAAAATTTTTTTTATTATTTTAACTTTTAAATCAATTTTTTGAAAATAAAAGGACAAATAATTTTGTTTTTCAAATAAAAATAAACATATCATTAAGTCTAATTACAATATATACAGTATAATTTTTGATTTCAATACATTCATTACAATGAATAATTTTTTGATATTATCTTGTATACACGTACGCGTAAACAGTTCCACAATTGTCGAATTTGAACATGGTAATACTTTGGCGCATAACAAGAATTTCTGAACCACCAAGTATATGTGAAAATTAGTATGAATGCATTCCTTCATTAGGAAAGGATTTTTCAAACAGGACCCATTTCAAGTCTTTTTTGTTTTAATTGGCCAACTATGTCTGGCTAATTTTGATTCTAAAAGTATAATGCAAATTATGCGCCATCACGGAATGGACTGTCACACAAGCTATAATTTGGTGCAAATTGGTCCTTTGCCTGACAGTCTTTGCTCAAGCCATTCTTGAAAGCAAAACGAAGCATCTGTTCTATCCGTCGAAGTTCTTAAACCTACCATCCGTCCTAGCCCTCTAGTGGACCTATTGAAAACAAAGGAGCCTTCAGTCCGTCTAGTCCTTACAGGCATCCCTATTTGAATTCCTTATTTCCCTTCATCAGCACCAAGTTAACTGGAAGTGACGGGATCGATTTCCTTAACGACAAACTGAACGTTACATCAATTTCACTAGGAAGTTTTTTCACTTACACATTACCGGTCTTATTAAAAAAGTCGAATAGTTGTTGTTCACCAGTTTGAAAAGCCAAGTTTCCTACAAAGACCTTGTGGCATGGCTCTTCTTCTTGAGTTTCAGTTTTCTGCTCTTCGGTTGGGACAGCATCAACTACGGTGATTTCAGTAGT